GAGACTCGGGTTGGATAGAAAGGCTTCTATAATGCATTAGTCGCATTAAGAAAGAAAAGTTTCATTAGATTTTGGACTTTTGCTTCAAATATGGCACCTCCTCAACATTTTGGGCTGTTCTAGCAGATGCTTCCAAGAATAAAAGTCCGTTTTCTTTGGCAAACTGTTCTCCCTCCTCTTTGCTTACAGCTCGTCGGTGAGCAAGATCACTTTTGTTTCCTACAAGCATGATCGTCATGTTCGGGTTTGCATGCTGCCGAGCATCTTCCAGCCAGCTTGCCAGATGATTAAATGTCTCTCTCCTAGACAAAAGAACATTTTCCCAGCGTAAAGAAAAAGAGAATTCACATTGTAGAAGAACATCGGCCTAAGATGAAAGTCAAAATAATTTTATGGCCCCTAGACTATTAAATCGGGGAAATCAGAGTTTTGACATAAGAAGACGACAATGTGTCCTGAAATATTCCTATTTCTGTTCTACTGAAATTCAATCCAGAGTACACCTAACTAGGAAAAGAAATCCCACATTGTACGACAAGATGCTGTCCATCGGACTTGCAAAAAACCAAAAACAGTGTATCATATCCATATATATCTTTCAGTTAAAAAAATTGAATTTATTAAATAAATATGACTGCTCGACCAATATTATTATACTATGTAACCACTGACTAAATCCTTTTGATCAAGCAGGAGTTAACACCAAGACTCAGCATAAGCTCAGTGCATTACAGCCAGCCATAGCTCCAAAAGCTTTGGTCCGTGTAGGAAAATTCTGAAAATAGTCTCTTGACGCAGGATGTAATCGGATTATTGTAGGAGAAGGAGAAAAGGAGGGAGAAAAGAAACATAGAAATTGGGCAGAGAAACAAATTTATTTCATTCATTCAAATTTGTCCTCATTACATCGTATAACCCCCTTTATATAGGGTTTCAAAAATATAAGGAAATAAATTATATAAAAGTTATTAAATCACGCTCTAATTGTATTTCCTAAAACACGAATCAAAAAAGGAAACTAAATAATTAAAATCCCTATTAATACTACATCATTTTTTTATTTTATTATTATTATTATTATTTTTTTTTTTTTCTTTTTTTTGGCATTATAGGTATGAGTAGTGTGTAATGTTTCCTAAAGATGTATGGAATCCTATTTGTCAGAAAAATGAAGCCAGAGTACTACTAAAGATCATACAACTGAACATCATTCAGGATTTCATTCTATGTATGAAAAGGAAAAAGACAGGAACATACATTAACCTACCTGGTTATGTCATAAACAAGTAGTGCACCAGCTGCTCCTCTGTAATATGATCTAGTGATCGATCTGAAAGATTCTTGGCCAGCCTGAAAGAGAAAAGATAACTTGGTTGACTTGTGTTGTGAAGAGAAATATAAACTAAACTAAACTCAGACAACCAAAAGCTATAATCAAACGAGAAAAATAGGTAAAAATTTAAATAAATGGGATAAGAAGTAAGGTTTGCAGAACACAAGAAACCAGCATCTCATTTAGAGTCAATAATTTTTAAATGTGTCCCTAATGCCTTTCCCAACTAGAATTTCTTTTTTAGAAGAGAATGCATGAAGTTTTTAAAAGTTCAGAAGAAAGAAAATTAAAAATAATATGTGCATAGATATTTTGCAGGTAGTAAAAGGACTTGACTGATCATTCCCATATTTAAAAAAATAAAATAAAAAGAGCAAATATAAACATAGAAAATTGGTATATTGAAACCAAAATAAAAGAGAAATGTGCATCTGGATGAAATCTTAAGTTGTTAAAAGTGAGAGAATAAAGCCTCAATCATCCAATTGTACAAGAACACTGATAACAACAATTTCATCTACGCTAAAGTTTAGTCATCGACTTAATTAAATGAGACCAACAAGAAGGTCGAGAACTGAAGAGCTAGTTCGTAACCAGAGAACCAAGCATCAAAAATTCATTCCCTCAAACACTGCTGTAAAACTTCAAACTTCAGATCAATCTCCAAAATGATGTGTCTATATTTGACTCCAATAATTAAACCGCTCAATATCAGCGTATTCCACTTCTACAAAGATTCAATCTTATCCATCATAGCAGAAACACAAAGTGCATCAGTTTACTTCTCACTGATGCATTCTTTAAGGCGTTTGCAAAGTATTACTTGAAAAGTTATTTTCTTTCCATAATCCAAGATAAACTATTCTACCTATTTACAGGTCTTTATTACTAATACTCCTCATCAATGACAAGTAAAACAAACATATCTCCTCATAATCAACCAAAAACGCTAATGAAACATAATAGTAGAGACCTTCAATAACACACTTTGTGCACCAACAAATGTACAAACTCCCATCAAAATTCCAGTTGTAGAATAAAAATGAACAATAGGTCCTTAACTTCAAGGAAAATGCAAGTTTAAGCAAAATGCAAATCAGAAGAACACAAGCATGACCGTGGAGAATCATTCCTGAACTTTGTGATGCACGGCATCAACATATCATGACAATTTCATTGAAGGCCTACTGATTTTTGTGAACAAGGAATTGATGTGAAGGAAAAATCAACCAAATGATTGTCAATATCCACCTATCCTTTACTTCTATATCCCTTCCCCCTTCCGTGGGAAAAAAACAAGGCAAATTCAAAGGGACTTCGTTGCAGTTGTCATGGCATACAGCATAACATCTCAAAACCTATGAGAGTATGGAGATGGACCTTAGTTTCTGTTACTGAAAAAACTCATCTCCAAACATATAAATTGAATCAAACTAATTCTTAACATCCAGGCAAAAGAATCCTCTTTAAGCATAAGGTACAGAAATGGAATAATATATTTGAACATCCAAAAATCTAGGATGCTTCCACTTGGAGGCCAATCGAGCCAGGAGAAGCATATAATTAAATTTTGCACGGGTCACAATTAAATGCCCAAAACTCCAAAGTTGAAAGAAAGTATATAAAGAATTAATCTACTTGTAAAACAAAGATAAAGGGAAATATAACTGTAATCAACTATAAATAACAACCACGACTACGGATAACAAGAAAGAAATATTAATAAAACAAGCGACGCTTAGTAAGTTACAGTATCCCAAATCTGAAGCTTAAGGGGCCTGCCGTCGATGGTGACCATACGAGCCCCGAATTCCACCCCAATTGTTAGATCATGCACCGGCTGGAACCTCTTATCCGTAAACTGTAACAGAAGACAAGATTTTCCAACACCTACACCAAAAATAAGCATCATATACCCGTCTAACTACTCTGTATCGATAAATACTAGGGTTTTTATTAAAAAAAAAAAAGAGAGAAAAAAAAAAGGAGATTTACCAGTGTCTCCGATGATTATATACTTGAAGAGGTAGTCGTACGACATTTTCTCCGACACGATTAAGCTCGCGAAGATAAAAAGAAGAAGAGGAGAAGCTGTATGTATATGTTGTGTGCGCTTTTTGCTTAGTGTAGAAAAGGGATGGACGCTACGATGGACGCTGTTCCAGAGAGAGATTGTGAAAGAGATGGCTAATAAATAAAATAAAGCAAAACTCTCAATTTATTACTTCATTATAAGTTGATCCAAAACATTTGAAAAGAAGCAATTTGATCCTCAGCCTTTATATAATTACACAATTGATTTTCAAAAAACTGTTGTAATCTCTGTTAAATTTGGAAAAAACCAAACGACCGCGATTGACACTCTGAGTGACCGCACCCTCACATGATCGACGTGGGTCCTCCATGAATAATATAATCCCGACCCCATATATGTGTATTATGTTAACTATGCGGTTACTCGTGCGGGCTATGTAGTTTGGTCCGTTAAATTTAGGGCAACTCGTCCCAAATGATCCCATTCCCCTGAGGAATCACGGCAGCACATGTTCACCAGCCCAAACTTGTCTCGATTATTATTTTTCCTATATTCCATTTTAGCCTTTGTTTGCTTCTTCTTCTTCTTTTTTTTTTTTTGGAAAAAATAGATTTGTGTAATAGTAAATTTGGAAGAATGTATGATTAAAAAGTATAGAAAAATTTTAAACTTACGTATAGAATTATTTTATTAAAAAAAGTGTGATTGAAAACGATTTTTGAAAGGAGTAAAGTGTGTCGTACAATTGAATTCATATTTACACAGATATTTTTTTGTACGTTGTTGAAAAATGTCACTTCTACCTCCAATTGGCGCTTGTCTACAATAGCAACTATCAAGGGTACCAAATTGCTTCTTTGTGCCTTGTCCCATTGGTCATTCATCTTTCCCTTTTTTTACTAGTAAATGTGAAATTTTATTGATCAAAATTTATGTACAAATACATCGAGTATATCCAGGCAAATCAAAATCAAGTCACTCATACAACTACTCCGAACATACCCGAATAACAAAAAGAAAGATGTACAAACGATATTATCTATAGACCTATCGTAAAAGACTCAAATTGAATCAGAACATTCGGATACAAAGAAAACATAACTTTGTATACGTATGGTCATTCATCTTTCTTAATTAGACGATGCTTGACACCTTGACTAGATGGGCTAACACATGCCTCATGAAGGAAATAAATAAGAGATGTCTGGCACTGGATACACATAGCAACACATTGCTCCCACGTTTGTTAGTTTGTGAGTTGCTTCCTTCTCTAACGCTAGGCAACTTGCTTGAACTCTTTAAACTTTGCTTTCAATCACTAATATTTCGTCAACCTGCTAGGGTCTGCTCGGTTCAACCTGCCCTTGGATCAAGACCTCGTCATCGACCTCGCCTTAAGCCCCAAGACCTGCCATTGAGCTTCCCCCTATCACACTAAACTTTCTGAGGGTCAACCTGTCTACTTATACTTGGTCTCCACATGGCCTCTACGTGGAGGGGGCTAGAACTTCTCATGACGTGGAGTCCTCTCAAATAAGTGTAGCTTAAAGCCTTAAAATTTTAGTAATTGATCAATTCATTTAACTGTCTTTTATATTTTATTTAACCACTTGAATTTAACAGGATACTCAAATATTGAAGAATAATGCTGAAGAAACAGGGAATAGAAACGGGGAAAAAAGGTTAAGTTGACAATCTATGATTGAGAGTGTTTTTATGTGTTTTTTCCCCAGTTTTCAATAACAAGTCGCCAAGTATTGTCTGAAAATAATTTTCTATCATTTACTCTAGCCACATAGCATGATTGAATCTTGAAATGGACATTGATGCATATTGACACAAGTCAATGGTCGATTCACAGATGATCTCGTCTGATCATGATAATCATATTTAATATAAAAAGGTAGTTTTTTCTAAATATATACTATTCTTGTGCAGCTTTGCGACCTCCATATTATTCAACTTTCCCTTTTAATGAATTCATGGGACTATTTTGTGGCGCGTATTTTAAAATAATTAAGCAGATAATAAAAAAAGTTAAACAATTAGCAAATAAAAATAAGAAAGTAAACTATCATACTGTTGAAAATTTCATTCATTACATTCATTAGGCACCCATAATAATTAAGGTACATAAAATAAGCTATTCCAAGAATGTTACTTATTTCTACATTCAAAAATATTAAATGGCATCAGCCTTTATTCTTCTCAATGAGCTCTAACTCGAGTTCCAAACCCCCTTTGAATTCCATGTAAGGGCACGACATTGGATAATCGTCTTCTTTCAATTTCCACCTTGAGACAAATTCAGACGAATTTTTTATTAGTCATTAATGTGAATGAAATATAAGTTGTGACAAGATGAAGCCTCCATTTGGATAATAATTTATAATTAATGTTAAAGTTAAACATTAATTTCAATTAAATATTCATAATCATTACTCATTATCCACACATTCCATTAACATTTCTCTTACTTATTATCCATTTGTAAATTTTCCAAATATAGGCTAAATTGAATAGAATTAACAAATAAATACGTACCTAAAATTAAGCACAAAATGGTGTAGGAAGAAAGCCGTCTCCAGTTTACCTATTTCCATCCCCGGACAATACCGCAATCCCCCACCAAAGGGCGTCACCTTTTTGCTCGTTGCGGGATCCTAACATGCATGGAAACATATAAGTTGTGGATCACACAGAATGTGTATTTGAACTGCTTAAATTATAATTTAAAACTTTGCCAAATATGCAATAACTTTATAATCATGGTAGTGGTGTAAATTAGATACGACATCAGTTTATCTAGGTCGATATTAATTTAAATATATATGTAATTACGTACTGTCCATCTATGAGGATTGAACTCGAAAGGATTGTGATGAAGAGTTGGGTCAAGATGTGTTGCAGAGAAGATGGGCAGAACTTGCCACCCTGCCGGAATCAGATAATCTGCAAATTAATAATAAGCATAAATGTAAGAGAAATATAAGCAAAAATGAATTTTCAAATTATAATTTAATGTAGTGAATAACCTTTAAATTTGACATCTTTGACCGCTTTCCTGTGCACAAATTTGACTAGATTTCCATAACGCAAAGTTTCATTAATTACCTATTCATTGCAAATAAATGCTCATTAGATTATGCCTATTAGAAAAAACACGCACACACTATAATGTTGTTTAATGAAGTTAAGAATATTGGTACAGCTTACATAAGAAGCGAACTCCATTTCCTTGTAGTCTTCAAAATTTAGTGCGTCTCCATCCTTCTTTCTCTTTCTTATGGTTTGGTGTTCTTCCTAAAAGAAAAAACACAAAGATACGTTTTCGATAAGCAATACTCGACAATAAACGAACAAAAATTTACCTTAATTTTCCCGTTACATCTGTCCAATCCGATCAATTTCAATATGAAAGAATTGATGGGTAATCCACTTTGTGATCGATTCAATTAATGTGAAACGACAAAAAGTCGACTTGACGATCCAAAAGAGACGTTCTTTACAAATGGACCTCATTAGTACATGCATGCGTGCATATAAATGTACCTTGAGTCGTTGAAGGGCTAATGGAGCTTGTTTGAGAGAGTACACGATGAGGGCTATAAGTCCCGAAGTGGTTTCATAACCAGCTAGAAAAAGGTCCAGCAAAACACTTGCTCTTTCTTCATCATTTAAACATTCTTTCATCAAGATATCATCTAAAAAGTCTCCATTAACTTGCCCTGAACCAAATTTTCTCCTCTTTTTTATCATTTCCATTAAAGTTGATGATATTCTTGTTCTAGCCTGAAAGAAAAGCAAAAAACCAGAGAGTAAAACTAAATTATAAAAAGAAAAAAAAAAAAAAAAGGGTTTTGAATATGTGATAATCTCTTCGAATATTGGATGAGTAATAGAAAGTTTTTTCATATGTTTAGGGATAAACATCATCATGTATTTATAGTCTTGAATCATCCCTACATGAAGCGGTTTCAACTCAAATGAAGAGGTGCAATTTTTCACCAAGCAAACCCCCAGAAAATTCAAAAAATCCAGCCAACGGTCGAATTTTAACACTATGTGACCGCATAGGCTATAACTATGTGGTCGCGTAGTTATAACTTTGGCTACCTAGAAAATCGCTATAAATTCGTATGCAACCGCAAGCCTCAATGGCTTATGCAGTCTCATAAGCCATTTTTATGGCATTTGTAATTTTACCTCTTTGGCCTCTTTAAAGAAGAGAATCCGCTTCTTTTCTTTCCAGGATCCGATCAATGAGAGCGATAACTTCTCCACATAATGAAGAAATTCATGCCTCGACTTCGAAACATTAATAAAACTAATCGCAACGCTTCTCAGCTTTTTGTGTAGTTCTCCTGATACATGCATCATTGATAATTTTCCAAGAATATCCTGTACTGGTTTGGGATAGCTGCTCAGAAATAGCCTCTCTTCATTTTGCAGAATGAATATATTGAGTTCGAGATCACACGAAACTATTGTTGGAGTACCAAAAAGATGGGATTTAAAAACTTTCCCATATCTGCATAAATATGAGAAAATGAGAATCCAACTCGTGCTTGAATGAACAATTCAATTCGTCTAAAGCTCGAACGAGTCATAATCATACCTGGAACAATGTTCTTGTAAAAAGTTGCTAATGGAGTTCGATTTATGAGGCTTAAGAAAAGCGAGTGTTTCTCCGACTAGTGGCCACCCCATGTTCCCCTTAGGCAACTGCGAATCTGGAGACTTATGTTTAAAAATGGAGATCCATAAAAGTTTAAGAGAAAAGTATAATCCAAGGAAAAGTGCTAAGTACACAGGCATGAATTCTGCAGTCATTTTGTATTGAAAATATTATTGGAGTTCTCAGTTTTAATGTTTAATCATCCTTTGTGGAATGTATTTATATACAGTGGAGCAATTACACCCTACCTAATTAGTTTAAGAAAAGAGTGATGTTATTTAGTCTTACTGTATTAAAATCTGAGGCGTTGACGTGGTATTAAATGATAAGTCGTTTAATTTCACCTCTCATTCAACCTATTATCGAGTGTCACCTAAACAGGGATTGGAAAATGAATACAAATAATAAAAAAAATTTCTACCATGTTTGACTTTCTCATGATTAAGGGAACATTTTGTAGGACTTTTAATAAGTTTTAAATAGGTTTGATTAATACAATAAAAATATTTATTTGATTAGAAGAGTTTTTAAGGAAAGATAATCTAAGAGCCCATTTGATAGGGCTTTTAAAAAATAATAATAAATTACTCTGACTAAAAAACTATTTTTTATTTGAATAATTTTTTGAAAGTATTTTATTTGACTAAAGAAATTTTAGAGGAATTTAGCCTAATACAATAAAGTTCTTCTATAAGAAGCAGAAGCTCTAAAATAATTTTCTTAGAAAGCTATTATATAAGAAGCAGAAACTCTACCAAACATGTCCTAAGCTTGATAGTGTTAAAAGTATGCACAAATGCAATATTAATAAAATACATATAATTTGTAACATGTTTCCAATAATTTATTCAATAAACATCATTTGACTTAATTATTTACATCTTTATTAGTCAAACTCTTCATAGTTATATTTTCTTGCACAAATTTATTCAAATATTATATTTATTATGTCAAATAAGCATTATTTGACATTATAGTTGCAATTTCTTCAAAAATACAACCCGTAAAGAGTTTTTGTCAACATTTTTCTATTGACAATTGAATTAAACTAATTACTTTTAATTACGAACTAAATGCTTAATGTGTAGTCATTAAATTGGCGTAATTCTTTTAATTGTCATTCCTAAGCGATATGATATCTTTAGACATGCATTTATCAAGCTTTAATCACGTGATATATAAGTTCAAGGTTATTTTATTGTGCTAACAACTTTTTAAGGGTCAGTTTGGCAATGAATTTGAAAGGTCGGAAATTGCTTCTGAGATTAAAATGTTGCTTTTGAATTTGTTTCAATAATTTTTTCAAAGTACTTTGTGTGACTAGAAGAATTTTTAGAAAAAAGTTGATCTAAGAAAATTTCCTTTAAAAGCTTTTTTACAAGAAATAGACCCTAAATTTCATATTTATTTGATATTTGCTAAGTGTGAAAGGTCTTATTTGGGAGGTTCACCCACCCTTTAACCACTCGATGGTGCACCGGGTTGTATTTTGTGCATGAGTACGAAAACAAAAGTTAACGTATAAAGGTTTGTAATACTCTTTTCAATAAAGTAAATATTTTTAAGATCGTAGTTTAAAATTTAATATTTATCAAAGATCAAACGGTTTAAACGAGCAACTCCATTTATATTTAACTCAAACGAGCAGACATATTTTAAGATTTATGTCCTCAAATGATGCACCATCTTGAGATAACAAATTAAGATAGATCTCGCACCTCTTAGATGTGAATATAATTATGAAACATATTGGGGGTGAGGACTAAATTGTGTGCTCGTACAAATATTATTTCACTCTTTAATTTGACACGAACCGCATGGGCGGGGAGAAGTCATCCTCCTCACATAGGCCAACAAGCACAAAGCTACGTCGCACCACAACGTTTTAGGTAGGATACTGCAATTATATTTATATATGATAGCATCATTAGCGCATCTTACAATAAAATACATCAAATTTTCAATTGTTAGCAATCTTGTCACGTCACATATGCAGATGAGTTGCTGGATTCATTAAAAAATTGTGTTACACGATTACGGTACGATGCACCTTATCGAAGGAGCTGCAATTGTATAGGCCACATTGCCTAAGAAATTTGTTTAAATTAGAAGTAGTAGTTCCCTAAAGCACCGCCAACAAGAGAACAATTTTGATATAAATTCTACAACTTTTGAAAGCAAAAGTTTAATGCCTTTGATTGTTTTATCTGCTTTTTACGGTTTGATGTTGATGTTTCTCATCAAAAACCGACCAAAAAAAATTCAACTCTCAATTTTGCAAGATTTTTGGCTTTATTGTCATCATCTTTGCCTCGAATATTATATTTTTAACCAATTCTATATTCCCAACATTAAACCATTTAATCATGGCAATAAGACAACATTATCGATCATTTTAGTCTTACTTCCGTTAAATTTGGTGTTATTTGTATAACTGAAAATCAGATACGATTTCATAAGATGAACAAATCTTATTACTTTTCAGTACTCAATTTAATAGGTTTTTGTATGCCTCAAGTACAAATGTTCAATATCTAAACGTTGCGGGATTATCTTTATCTTGAATATAACGAGTTTCATATCGAATCGAATAATATGTTCGAATATTTTTATTCAAAATGTATAATTACTTATAAGTCGAACAAGCTAGGTAATCAAGATTTACCTCATTACTAATTGAATAATGTTATTTGCAGTCATCTATTGTCGCAGTCGTCCTACGTGACATACATGTGACGATTAGTGATTTGACATATGAAGCAAGAAAAAATTATCACGTTAATATATCAAATCACAAACCACTATATAGGATACCACGTCCTACGGCTATCACAATAAACGACTATAAATAACATTACTCTTACAAGTTAGGTTGGTATTTGAAATAAATAAAGTGCGGAAAGCGAATGAGAGCCGTACAGACCAAGAAATGCAAAGAGGGGACACGAAAAGGAGGAATAATTTTTGTTTCTCCATAATGTAGTGCGTGTGCATGGTGCACGTGTAATGGATTGGGGCCCATAATTACTCAATTGCAAGCCCGACATGATCCATTGAGCTGGAGTCAACAAAAATTACAGCCCGTCATGATTGTTCATGGCCTCTGAAATGTGTTTAGNTATCTGAATATAATACTCTAAACTAAGCCCTTGTTTGAGTCACATTATTTTTCTAAGAATGCATTTTTGAATAGTGTATGAATAGAAAATTTTTGGTTAAAAAATAAGGAAAAATTTTGAATTTGCGTGTAATAATATTTTATTGAAAAATGTATGATTGAAATGAAATCAAATTACTGTTTAAGAATATATTATTCTGAAAGAATATGGGTCGAACAAAGCCCAATAATAGAAGTGTCTCTAATACTGTAATAAAACTTATAGCATTTTCAAGAGGCACTTTGTTTATAAAGAGCATATTGTGTTTAAAAAGTCTCTTGAAAATGTTATTAATGAATGCCTCTTGAATTTTAATAAAAACTAAGTAAAAAAAAAAAAATTATAAATATAGTAGAGACAAAAAGTAATTTTACTTTATTAGAAGTTTAACCAAACACTCGATTGCATGTGTCGACTAAGATTTTGAAATTTTTAGTTAATAAATATTTTATTTTGTATGTGGTATTATAGTCAATGTTAATTGTGCTCCCCAACATTCTTGTTTCTCAATCATCCTGCCTCTACGTGTTTTTCAAAAGCCTAATCCTTAATAGTAATCATTAATCTTGTCTTCTTTTTTCCTTTTTTTTCTTTTTTTAAGACTAACCATGAAAAGGTCAGGATCTTGTAAGAAAAATGAGAACATAGAGACATGAGCATTATACTATATAGTCTACGGATGCTTGGACAAATTATACAAAGTATATACCTTTTTGTATCCGCTCCAATTTAAAACTGAATTAAATTATTCCTATGTCCTCTAATGTTTTTAGTAATTCTTGTATCCTTTCAAGTGGTGACAATATGCAAGAGACGCTATTTTGAAAAATGATAGTACTCAAAGCAAACATCTTAACAAAATAAACTGACACAATGTAACAGGATTATTGTCCTTCATTTATTATGGGTTCTCTCTCTCTCTCTCTCTCTCTCTCTCTCTCACATCGTATGAATGCTTTCATTTTCAAGATTTGAACCTTCACCATCCTTATATAGGGTTCTTAAGGCAGAAAAGGCAAAACTTAAGTTGGTCTAGGAGAGGAAAAAATCTCACTTATGGAGAAGGTATGGAAAAGGCAAGTCAATCCTAATTTTTTTACCGCCTATTGTGGGCTTAGGCAGCTAAAGCCGAGCCTAAGTACCAAGGAGAAAGCACAAGCGTGGGGGATGAAGGAAAATTTTGTCCCCTACAAAAGAATTCCAGATACTCACACGAGGAATGGACCCCATGTAAGTAAAATAATCTAAGAAATAATCCACTCACCCCATAACGTGTGTATTCTATAAGATATCTACAAAAAATTGTTCCGTACTACAAAACACGAGGGATGAAATGCAGCCTGTACTTTTCTTGTAAATGACTTAAGAACCTAAACGTTGGTAGCATCGGAATGGAAACTTGTGCAACTTTCTACCATGTTTAGGATGTAGGCATGTAGCTCTTTACTTGAAATTCATATCAAATTAAGAATCACAAAAGCTTCGCCCATATGCACACATAAACTCGTAAAATTTGAAGTTCGACTTTCACGCTCTGCATCTTTTAGAACCTTGCTTCTTTTAGAAGTTGCTCTTAAAACCTAAACTGTCGTGTTCCGGAAATGTTCTAAGGAAAAAAAAAAAAAAAAACCAGAGAGAGAAGAATGATTACTTCTTTGTCAATATTTACAACTCCTGAAAATGTTGGCTGGCGTGTTCCTGAGCATGTATCATAATTTTATTTTCCTGAGAATGGAATTTATTCTGCAAAATTAATGCACGCCTATGCGCAATTAAGGTTAGTAACGAATGCCAACTAATCAAGTTCTACGGTCATAAAACCAACATCAACACAAACTTACGCACCACACTGAGAATTTACACTGTGCAAACAAATCTCATAGATACAAGATTTGCACATTGGCCATAGACTTCAGAATTTGAACTTTAGTATACAATCCCATTTCGAATATGAGAATTGGGTTCAATCCGGAGCAACTGAATTTTCTTTTGCTATCTTATAATTCAAACAGAAAAACTAGATCACCAATGAAAATCTAGAGGGTAGCCGGCAAAATAATACTACGCTCCAATAAAACCATAAGAGAATTTTAACAGCACGAGGTTTAACCAGAAAAATTACCATTCATCAGTCATTTACATTCTGACTTCCTGATTATCAAAAGAAATACAAAAAACTCACTTAACATTTACAAGAAAAAGGAGATCTCAGATAAAATTGCTGGAGAATACCTATGATTAATAGATGATGATCTCTCCAAAAACATCATCTAGATCACTCTTAAAAAATTTACAGCAACCATTTTCAATCTTCACAGAGCGTCCTAGCATTTTCAACGGCTTTCACATAGTAATACAATCTCCATAATGTTACTATGTCCTACAAAATTACCAACAACTTTAAATTTAGCTTTGCACAGGTTCGGATTGAAACTATCACAACAAAAAAGCAACCAAATGTTTTGTATCTACCTCATCGTCCAGATCAACATGGACCACATCACAAGAATTCTTTGATGAATTATGACATCTGATGATTTCCGCAACACGATCAAGATTTCCAGGAGGTAGACTCTGAATCAACTTACGAAGCTGTTGCTTCTCGATAAGGGTCATTGACCTGTTGGTGACAATTAAGACTTGTATAAACAAGCATAAAAATCAATGATATGTTAGAAAAGAGGCCCTAAGACTAATTTATTTGTTGTAATCTAGTGGTGGGAATACTCACCTTCCACATGGGTGACCTGGGTTCAATTCCCATAAAAGGAATACTCCCTCCGTCCCAATTATATAGGTTGAGTTTCCTTTTTCTCTTGTCTCAAATGTATAGGCTTGTTTCCTAATTTAGAATATTTTATTTTGTTCATTTACCAATATACCCCTATTTCATTTTTCCCATTTAATATGTCAACTTCTTGAAATCATCCAAATACACACATTCTTACTTCTTGGAAACATGGAACAACTCTCATTTCTTCTTTTTCAAATTAAATCATTCAAATTCTACTAATTTCAACAATAATTTACTACTACATACTGAAAATTAAATAGGGATAAATTAGGAAAGATCTTGACAAAAATTAATTTCCCAATGACATTAAAGAAGATTTCTTAATCCGTATGAAAAATGAAACAAACCTATATAATTGGGATGGAGCGAGTATAATTTTTTCTTCCAACAAAGTAAGGTTATAGGGGAAGGGACCATGTTCCCCATCCCAGCTCTGATTCCCCAGTTAACTGGGGAATCCCCACACCATTCAGGGCAGGCAGTTGGGGACTGGAAATGTTGCCATCCTTAACGTTCATCTAGCTCAAAAGGCGACCAGATAAGCCAAGGATTTAGTCTCAGTATCAACAGGCATTGATCTTTATTGCAAGTCACGAACCACAAGGATAGTGTTTCGTGACTTCCATTGATTGGTACGCGAAACTGAATATATAGAATGTAACTTTCAAGTATCACAAAAGAAAATCATTTATTGTCAATATATTGTAAATGAAAAACTAAACGAGTAAATTCTTCATTTTTTGTGATCAACAATAAATCATTTAAAACTTCTATTTTATTTTTTAAAAAAAGTGTAAATGATTTTTAATGCATAAGAATCAACCCACTGGTCCGACCAATGACCTGCTGGTTCAACCAATTACCTGGTGACCACAGACTTTTATAGGTAAATGCCCAGGGTCGGGTCTGATAACTATGCTTGCCACCACCAAAATAAATACCTATATGAATTAATACTGAAAAGCCAAGCTAATTCTATAAAAGTATATCAAGTAAAGACAAATTTTTTGTAAGATAAATAAATTTAAAAAAAAAGAGAGAAAAGATTAAGTATCGTTAACTAGACAATTTCCAAGAGTTTGGACACAGAAAAATAAATAAATAAACTAAGCGCAGTAATCAGCTAGACTCTACACGAGTATAGTACAAGAGATACCTGCAACTGGACATTACAATGTCAAGAAGTTCTTCTAGCTTATGCTCCATATGGCAAATCTGTAAAATATACCAGCAGATTTTAATTGTCGATGAACTGAAGATATTCAACATGTCGATGGTTGATATTATAATTTAGAATAGTTAAACTAGAAGTGATTCGTGATATATAAATACCATGGTGGACAGTTCATCAGAATACTTCTTCATCACTTCCTCTACTTTTGTGCTATCACTCTCCAAAATGTAGCGTAAGTCATCATCAATCTAAAGGATAAAATGAAACAAACAACTTCAAATCAGCAACATTTTCAAGACATGAAAATTGTAATAAATCATATATCAGTAATGTTTCCACAACATGAAAATTGTAAAATCATTGATTTGCAGCCCTTCTTAAACAACCTTCATGAATATTTAACACTCCCTATATGCTTTGGCGTGATTTTTTCCAGTGACATTCATTGTTGAATTACCATGAGTATACCCAATTAAATTTGTAATAATATTTATTAAGTGCAATAGAGGATATCATATGGTGAATTAAAAGATTGATGCAGAATTGACTGTACTATAACACTTCATATAAGATTGTACAAATATGCACATGCCTTATTCTGTTATAATTTAAAGGTCCAACAATTGACACGTAAATGACAGCAAACATATTTATTTCTGTCCAATATTAAACGAAATTTCCATCCCTGATTCCATTGCAAATTAGAGATCATTGCAGAAAAGCTTTGCCTCTACCTCAAACTATGATTATGCATTAATAAGAACTTCTTGGTTGTGAAACATGTTCTATGTTTGTTAAGAGCATCTAGAGAGATCATGATTTCCCCATTCATTTATTAAAAAGGACATTTAAAAGTCAAGAGAGCATAAGAGGCCAAATTGATTTAAGTGCCTGCATTTTGTTCAAGCATTCTCATATTTTCAATGTGGTAGGCAAAGCCATATCTGATGTGTGGGAATTTAGGATAAGGGACAATAGATGCAACACTGCAACCAAATTATTTTTGTCTGTGTTTTTGCCTGCCTGGGGTTACCAATCCTTTGAGAGACAACTTTACACAAAAATAATATCCAATCTGCCACCAGAAAAACAATACAGCAACAGATAACAAGAAATAAAAAGTGCCAGGCACCTTGGTTCCATTGGCCCCAACAATCATCTGAGGGATACAATTTTTTTTGCCCTGGGTGCATTCCTTCATGACATCATTCGATTCTTCTTTCCCTGGTACAGCCAAATGCACGTGTTCACTTTCTGAATCCTGTATGTAAGAAGGTAAAAACAGAAAGCTCAAGATAAATTTATCCCAACAAGATAGTTGGCCTTTAATCATATAATGGATACGTAATAATCTCCTCCCAAGTAAGGTCATTTAAGTCTAGATGTTGAAAAAGAATAGCTAGCATCTTTGACACAAACAAAAATGTGAAGAGTTAAAAAAGGCATGGCAGAAAACCACTAATACATGCAGGCTGCAGCAAGATTACAAGCAACAAATCCCTACCATAGTATTACACGAAGACGACATCAATCTGTATGCATGCCCATCAAAAGTAGAAAAGAAATAGCAAAAACCATTCCAAACAAGATAATCCTTTCAAAATATCATTAACTTCTGCTTCCAGTACACATAGTAAAGTAAGTATCCTCAAATAAAATCTTAAAAAGGTCATTGTTTCAACTCGATAATAGAGCGCTCGGTAATGCAATGGTGACTTGCATCCTCACAAACAAGAACAATCAATTTGAATGCATGTATGTGAGGTTAGAGCATATTCATAGCCAATCCACCTTGCCTAAACCTCTAAAAGTAAGAGCCCTCGTGAAGCGCTGCTTATCTATCTCTTATATAGGACTTGATCTGAAATTCAATTGCCGTCTCAACCTGTAATGCTCGGACCCTTCTCTTTGGCCAGCATACCCATGTCAACACAACATGACACAGGTATTGGTATGAATGCGGACACGGCAAATTTCAACCGGACATGGCTAGGGGTGGAAACTGTTGGATTTTGTTGCCACCATTGTTGCAGAGCCAGAAAGTCACTGTTGCAGTTTAAGGGAAAGAGGAGGAGTGTCATAGTTGGGCCCTTTTTTAAAAAAAATTTGAGCCTTTTGGGCTTTTTTTCTTTTCTTTTATCCATTGTAGTTGAAGTATATTCACAGCCTTATAGCTTTATTATTTGGGTTTATTTATCTCTTTCTTCGAATTTTATAGTCTTACTGGTTGGGCAAAATTACGTAAGGTTTATTATTTATATTATATTTCTTAAAAATAAATAATAGTTGATTATTATTTAACTTTTTACATGTGAATTTTTGGAAAAATAAAAAATTCAAGTTTCAAAAACGTACCCACGTACCCATATCTGAAAATTGGACCCTTTTTAACCATGTCCCAGTATCCTATGTTTTAAAAAATAAAAGATCCGACACTTAAATACACACTTGTACCCAAGTCCGAGCATCATAAGCCTCAACACCCTTTTTATGTTTGTGCATGTTTGACTTTCTTTCTTCTTCTTCTTAAATCTGTTTCAGACACTTTTTAGAGTAGACATGAGATAAATCATAAATAGCAAAGTCTGATGTATAGAAAGTCAACAAATTAAGTTTTTACCAGACATTTATTTGTGCATTTCCGATGCTTACCAAAGAGGGAGGCAACACTTTTAGCTTCTTCTGAGGGTGTTCCACTTGATCAACTCCACATCCCGAGCCATCCAAGCTTAATAGGCTATTTTTGTATCTCAAGCATGATCGTATTCGACATATCGAAAGCACAGGATTTATCATCTACAACAAAATTAGATATAGGTTGAGGATACATTATACAACTTTCAACAAAATTACTTATGGATGCATATACATTGCCAAGCTTCCATGCTCCATGGACGGCCACATTTGTCCAAGAAAAGCTGTAACCCTGTATCTAATTTATGTCTAGATAATCAATGCACTTGGTTGCTCATACTCTCAAGTCAAAAGTGAGGTCAGGGAGAAAGGTTGAAAAAGAAACGGACATCAACAGATATGTACCTCGTTGACTTCCTGCCCAAGAGTAAGCACACTTTGGCAAAGCAATGACTTCAACCTTTCCTTTTTAATCTCCGGCAGTAGAGAACCTATTCCATTAGAGTATAAGGAAGCAGAACCACTAATACTGTTGTTCTCTTTTTTTGTGCAACTGCTCCTACTTGTACCCTTTTCTCTGTCCAACACAAGAAGGTTTCCAGCTAATCCAGAAATTTGAGGTGAGGAAGGCATAAAATCATCATCTTGAGACAATAACTCTGCTACTTCACTTGTATAGAAACCAAAGAAATCTGGTCCTATGTTACTGTTTTCAACTGCAGTTGCCATGTCCCTTGAAGTTTCTGACATTGCACCCAAATAATTATGCCCACTCAATGTCAGAAAATAATAAGAAATATCAGAGTCAATATGGTTTGACACGACATAATCATGTGTGTGAGTTTTTGAAGGACAAATAGTTATATTGAATATCTGGCTTATGGCAAGTCTCGAAAGAATATCATAAGTATCTCTGTCGTGTGAACTCATCAAAAAACATGAGAGCAAAGTTATTACTATTCCTAGTTTCCCAGTGCTAACAGAATTTCAAAATCTATATTATGAAGGGTTTGTCATCATATTACGACAGCTATGGTTGAATTATATATAAATTGAATTATCAGGCTCCAAAATCCATTTGGAACTTCTACGATGTTCAATTGCCACTTCCAACAAAAAATAAATAATAATAAAAAATAAATAATCAATAGCTTGATAACTATACACAAGTAAACGTGTAAACAAAATTTCAACATTGCAATCCCTAATCCCCATATGTAGGCCTAGGCATCAGATGTGTCGGTGTGGTATTTCAATATCCAGAACCACCCATTACACTTTGAGTGTTTCGTAAATGAACTGTGCGGTCCACGTAATTAATGGAATCAAGTTCGATCCTCGGGTTTTGGTTCTACCCATGACATTTTCTTTTAAAAGTCATGAACTGACAATATAAATTATCTTCCAAATATCTAGCAAAAATATAAGAAGTAAAATGTACCATCAAATACATATTTCAAAATCTTTCTTAATCTACTGCAAATATGCCACCAGATAACATCATATATATAGCAAAATAAGTCAGCAAATGGTATCCAACATCTAGCAGAGCATAAACACAAAATTACATACACAAAGAAAAAACCAAAAACTAGAAACTAACAATACGGAAGAACTAAATTCTAGACATGCTAAAAACAACAAAAATTCGTTCCATCCTATCGAGTCATGGACAAGTGAATAAATTATAAAAATATATATCTAACTTGTAGAAAGGGCAATTTCAGTTCTAGAGCCGGGTACCCACGATTCGTGCTCCAAAACACATCTGAAATTTCAACAATGCTCTGTTGCCACTTCCGAACAAATAACCGACTCAATAGTTCAATAACTATAAGCAACTGTGCAAACAGAATATTTCAAACCCTAATCCCCACAGGCATGCAATTACTGGAACTTAAACGAACAGAAACTAGAAGCCATAGAGCAACGGAGTTTTGGTATTTAACACGGTAAATTTGAAAGTAAAACAAAAGAGACATCCATGAAAAATAATAAGAGAACCTCACCCGTCGAATTCTTCGATGTTGGATTCCTGGAGTTCTGATTACCCCTAATTCTCATTTTTGAAAGTTGGGAGATATGGATTTTGAACGTCCTCCTTCATGGGCCTATATATAGAGCCCAGGCCCCACGGGCACACTTGTCATGATGTCATTGTCATAGTTGCTGGAATTTTCCATTGGGAGTAACACAAGTCCTTGACTTTTAATTTAAAGCAATCGAATCCTCTTTATTTTAATTTAATAGCACACGAGTTCTCAATACAAAAACCTTTCAAATGTCTTTTCTTTCCCTCCACCACCCCTTGGGGCCCGCCCACGCCCTTCTTTTTTGGCCTTTTCAAATAATCTCGCCAGATTCATGAAAATCTAAGTGGTCTTTTAAGATCCTCATTACGTGGAAAAATTAATGGGAAAAATAATATTTTTTTTTAAAATGAGTGGTTGAAGAAAAAATGAAAAGTTTTCGATTTACGTGTAATATTATTATATGAAAGACTGTGTGGTTGAAAATAGAAGATAAAAAAATGAAATGTAATAGAATTTAATGTAATGGGGCTCAAACAGGGGCTAAATTTGGACATATAAACCCACATAATAATTTAAGCCCGTTCAACTCCTATTAAAATTATAATACATTTTTCTATCTTCTTTTCAACCACAAATTTTTCAATAAAGTAATATTATACATATATAAAAAAAATTTCCTTCTTTTTCAACATTCCATTCTTTAAAAAAGAACACTATTCTGAAAATTATAACCACAAATAATGAGAGCCAAACGGGGGTTAAGAATAAAATCAAGTTGACCTCTTGGTGGCCATTTTTCTGAAAAAATATTTTAAATAATATTTTGTTGGAAAATGTGTAGTTGCAGAGTAGGAGAAAGTCTTGAATTTACATGTAAAATATTACATGAATGTATGGTTGAAAATGACTATACAAATAAAAAAGAATTTTGAAATAATGAGAGACAAACACTTGTCAAATTATGAATATGACTGAGGCCATAAGTAATGATGTGTACAATTTCTATGTGACTTGATCATCCACGACCTCATGCTTGAGGTCATGGTAACCTCGAGCATTCTCTTATGGCTTGAACATTCTCGAGTTTATATGGTCCAGTTTGTCACTCTCTTCCCTAGGCCACAACCATCGGGCTTGCATAAGCAGGCTCGAACTCGGGCTTGTAGTCCCTTGTCTCGAACCATATAGCTCGATCCTCCCCCTTCCCCACATTTATTCAAGCACAAGGTTGGGCTTCATGTTAAGGTTGGGCCTATATCCCAAAGATTGAGGTTGGACTATAGGCTTAGGTCAAGTTTCATAAGAGCTGGCTCCAGAAACGTCAATCCCACTTTGGCTACAACTCTTTATGCTATCACAGTTTGACTTAAACTCAAACAAAACACTTTCATCGTAACACAAACGCTCTACATGATAAGGATAAGGGCTACAGACAATTAAATTCTTTTACAACTCTGCCACTAACATCTATAAATACATGACTAAATCTCATGGCTAGTACATTTTTATATACAATTTCAGTAAACGTTCTTATATAAATTTCCTGTTTGACTTAAGCATCGGAGGGGCGACAAGAACAACCTCGTTGCCTTTGTTTTAGGTACAGGAAGGCTCCGTTCGTGTCCTTTCTTAGTGCTTAAGCTCCAAAGATCTATCAAGTGCGATTTTTTGTAGCATCAGTGGCGCGGTCTGTGGGAACTGCTGCCAAAATCCATGGTAAACACATGATCAGGTCTTTCCCCAACAAGCTCATCCATCTCGGATTATCCTCCTCCACCTAAAGATCATAATGTCCCTCAGGAGGAATCATCAAAGATATCAGTACATCAGCATGCCTTTGTTACTGCCAGAGCATTAAAAAAGCTCCGCCGACAAGTTACTACATTAACCCAGTTGTCGAGTCGGAGAAATTCTCACCCACCACATATACTGACTCCTAAAGGTGATTTTATGACAGATGCTCGAGCTTAGGCCCCACAGCCTGTTCCTGACGATGGTGGGGGTTGAAATCTAAGGTGTACCACATATGGCCTCGGCCTCGGGGAAAGTGACGATAGAGTCTGGTGAACTCGTCAAGATTATTCAAGAGGGAATCACGACAGGCCTAATGCAAAAAGCTAATGGGGCAACAGGCTTTATCCCTAACACAATGTTCACACCCGAGATATTATCATTCCTCTTTCTGGACAGATTCAAATATCCCCATATAAAAGAATATGATGAAACTACCGACCCTATCAACCATCTCAATATCAATACCGACACATGAACCTGCAAGTTGCCCCAGACCAGGGGATGTGTAAGGCTTTTCCTCAAACATTAACCAATGCTGCCAGGGATTGGTTCTCAATCTTAGAGCTCAATTCCATAGTCTCATTCTCGATTCTAGTCGACAAGTTTTCTACCTTATTCACCAGAAGCAAGCGCATCCGAAAAACAACAGCTTCCCTCATACAGCTTCGTCAAAGGCAGAATGAGACACTTCGTAATTTCATGATAAGGTTTAACAAGGAAAGACTTCAGATCCCAGACCTTCATATCACAGCTACATACTCAACTTTAACACATGCTATAAGGTGTGAAGCATTCAAAATGTCTCTATTAAAGACCTATCCAACGTCAGTAACCAACCTAGTTACCTGAGCTGAGAAGTACGTCAACATGGAAGATACTATGTTCCCAAGGAAAGATGCCACATTGTCAACCAAGCCAAAGCATAAAAGGCCGCATGAGCGTAATTTGCATTAAGATCGTCCTCGGCGTAAGACAAGTCATTATAACCCTTCAGCAGTTTTTACTCACCTAAATACAACAAGATCTAACATTTTGATGGAGATCAAAGATATGAAAGAGCTCAAACGGTCGTCAAGGATGAAGTCCCCTTCTGAGTCCCGACACACGAACAAGTATTATGAGTTTTATCGAGACCACGGGCACACAATTGAGGGCTACTTTGCTCTAAAACGAGAAATTGAAGCTCTCATCGAGAGGGGATTTTTGGGCGCCTATGTAAGCCATGAAAAGTACCCGATGAATAATCAGAATAAAGACAAGGCTGTCGGAGATCAGGGAAATCAACAACCAACATATGGTATAATTAATATCATCATTAGAGGTACAACGTGAGGAGGAGACTCGAGTAATGGACTCAAACTATACGCCAGGTTGTATCTAGGAGTTTCAAGTATAGGCCTTGATAGAACTGAAGATGTAACTTTTGGACCAGGAGACTCAAGAGGAGTGTCATTTCCTCATAACGATGCCTTGATCATATCAGCAATCATCGCTAACTTTGAAGTAAAGAGAGTCCTTGTGGATAATGGAAGTGTTGCGAATCTATTGTCCCATGAGGCATTCCTTCGGATGGGTATATTAACCAAACAACTCAAGCAAGTTAGAACCCCCTTCAGGGGTTCGACAGTGGAATCGTCACATCGAATGGCATTGTTGAATTACCTCTAACTTCGGGATCAGAAAGAAAGCAAGTAACACAGGTTACAACTTTCCATGTTTTTCGAGCTCCAATGACACACAACTCTATAATTGGAAGGCCGCTACTTAATAAAATAAAGGCTATTGTCTCAACTTTCCACTTAGCATGAAATTTCCAACAAGTAATGGAGTAAGAGTAGTTCGAGGAAACCAAAACGTGACTAGACAATGCTATGTCTCCAGCGTCTAAGAAATCAAAACTGATGGCATGCAGGTTTCAAAGCTCGAGATCAAGCTTGAACATTGTGGGAGAATGGTCTCTGTAGAAGAATTGTTAGATGTCGAGCTCGAGCTTGAAAGGTAGGTCACCCTTGGAAAGATGAAAACCTAAAGCTCTATTGTGAGTAGTAGTCTCTACCCCCAGGTAATTAGGCTAGTTTTTGTCCTTAGTTTTCTTTTATAGTTCAGGCCTGCGGCCATAAATTTAGTTTGGTAGTTTGGGTTTGTTTTCTCCTTAGGAAGTTTACTTTTTGGGACTACGCGCCCTCTTTCATCCTTTTATGAATGGTTCATGGTTTGCAAGAACTCGGGCTAAAATGCCCTCGAGCACTTACTCTTTAATGATATAGGAATTTGCTTTTATACTAATGTTTCCCCTTGAAAATAAACATTTAACATAAGGTCGTGCTCTGAACACGCATCTAAATCAACCCTAACATTTAGCGTAAGGCCGTGCCTCAAGCACGCAGCTAAAGCATACACTTAGCATAAGGCCATGTCCCGAGCATGCAACTAAATAAACTTTAACACTTTAGTGTAAGGTTGTGCCCCGAGCACATAGCTGAAGCATACATTTAGCATAAGACCGTGCCCCGAGCATGCAACTAATTAAATTCTAACACTTTAGTGTAAGGCCATACCCCGGCATGTAACTAAAGCATACATTTAGCATAAGGTCGTACCTTGAGTATGCAGCTAAATAGATTCTAACACTTTAGCGTAAGGCCATACCCCCAAGCATGCAGCTAAAGCATACATGTAGACCCTATGCCTGGCCATTGCCCGAGGCATACATTTAAAATTTTACAATAAGTAAAAAACCCGACGTTATTTTTCATCCCGAGCTTGTTAGGCTGAGTTCTCAAAAATTCCAATGAGGATAAGTGTTCAACATTAGGCTCGAGGGCCTATTCTTGAGCTCAATAAATTGTTAAAATCCCAACCTTAGAGCTCGGGAGATTGTTCAACATTGGGCTCGAGGGCCTATCCTAGAGCTCAATACATTGCCAAAGTCCCAGTTTTAGAGCCTGGGATATTCTCAACATTAGGGTCAAGAGGCCTAACCTCGAGCTCAATTTATTGCCAAAATCTCAGCTTCGGAGCTTGAGATATTATTCAACATTGGGCTCGGGCCCTAACCTCGAGCTCAATACATTGCCAAAGTCCCAGCTAAAGAGCTCAAGCTCGAGCTCTTTCATTTGATATTGGAAAAGCTCGAGGTCGAGCTCTTTCACTTCAATTTGGCAGAGATCGCGGTCGAGCTCTTCATTCCAAGTTTTTGACAAAGCTCCAAGTCGAGCTCTTTCATTACAAATCTTGACAAAGCTCCAGGTCGAGCTCTTTCATTTCAAATTTTGGTAAAGCTGGAGGTCGAGCTCATTCATGCCAAAATCTTTTACAAAGGTTGAGGTTAAGCTCCCTACTTTCAAAATTTTTAATGAGATCGGGATCAAGCCCTTCCTTTCTAAAATTTTTTAATGAGCTCGTGGTCGAGCTCCTTCTTCCAAAATTTTTAACGAGGTTGAGATCAAGCCCTTCCTTTCAGAATTTATTAATGAGCTCGAGATCGAGCTCTTTGTTTTCAAAATTTTTTAACAAGGTCAAGGTATAGACCTTCTTTTCAAAAAAATTTTAATGAGCTCGAGGTCAAGCTCATTCCTTTCAAATTCTTAGACAAGGTCCTGCGTACAACTTTCCTTCAAAATTCTAAGAAGGTTGAGGTCGATCTCCTCCCCTTCAAATTTTAACAAGGTAGGGGTCAAGCACATTCGAATATTTTAATATTGAAATCAAGCTCATCTTTTTCAAATTTTTCGAAATGATCAAAACTTGCTATGCTAGGTTTATATGCTTGGGGGCCTATTAACTTGACATGAGGATGCATATGTTTGAACCCAATGTACTTATGCATCTCATTCCAGAAACTCTCACATTGCGTATGAGCTCTTAAAATGGATACAAGGGGGCCTATGATGTGGACAATTTCTGTGTGATCCAACCACCCACGACCTCTTGCTCAAAGTCATGGTAACCTTGATGAACATTCTCCTATGGCTTGAACATCCTCGAGTTTATACGATTGGGCTCATCACTTTCTCCCTTGAGCCACAACCATCAGGCTCACATAAGCAAGCTCGAGCTCGGGTTTGATGCCCCCTATCTCGAACTATATAGCTTTAACATAAACACTCTACATGACAGGATAAGGGCTATAGGCAGTTGAATCCTTTTACAACTCTACCACTAACATCTATAAATACATGATCAAAGCTCATGACTATGGTACATTTTTACATACAATTTCAATATACGTTCTCATATAAATTTCATGTCTAACTTAAGTATCGGAGGGGCGACGAGAACACACATCTTTGTCTTTTTTTTTTTGGTACAGAAAGGTTTTGTTCGTGCCCTTTCTCAGTCCTCACGCTCGGGAGATCTGCTAGGTACGATCTTTTGGCGGCATCAGGTAATAATCTCAAAATTTAGAAATTTTCTCAAACAAATTTTCAAACAGAGTTTTCGCATATCCATTTTTCCATTTCCATAATTGATATACTTTTAATATGTGATTGACAAATTTCAACAAAGAATGCTTATTCAGTACACTTTCAATATAGAATTGACAAACTCCAATAAAGCACATTTATTCAATATTATTTATGACCACATAATACATGACTACAAAATTAAATACACAATTAATATAGATTGCTGAAATATTTTTTTATTTTTTATCTTACCAATTGTTTAGTAAAATTGGTATGAGTTTTTAAGTGATCAACAAATTAAAAACTAATAAGTTTTATATTAAAAAATATATATTTGACATATTTGTATTTATTTTGAATTGGCGGTGTGTAAATATAATTATATGTTCTTTTCAAAATAAAATTAAAATATTTATTTATTACCTCCGATTTGAAATCCCCGTTGAACCTTTTGACTTTTCTCTTTTTCAATTTGATGTACATGCTGGGTTTGAAGACATTGGAATTTCATTAGTTATAATTAAAAAAGATATTTTAATAAATTTAAAATGATAAATGAAAATTAATTTGTTAATGATGTGATAAAAATAAATAAATCAATAAGAGTTTTTGTGTCCGAAAAAAATGTCTTAAATAATATATTTATTTATTTCGTTGATACATAATAATATAAAAAATCTGAATTAATTTTTTTTATTTCTTTTTCATAATTAAACAAAAACAAAATAATGCCCCAACTTGGTGGAGGTTAAATCAAGATTTTAACATATTTTCATAAAAAATGACGAAATATGTTATTGAAAAGTTGTGATATTAAAAAATATTGAGAGTTCAATATATTGATAAAAATTTTGTCAATAAAAGAAGTAATAAAAATATATAAATTAACAACTAAGGAAATATGCCCCTCTAATAAAATTATTTTTTTAAAAAAAAATAACTTATCTATAAGTTAATTATAAAGAATAAAATGACATTTTATCCTATTCGTCGTTTTAGTTATAAAAAAAATGAAAAAAATATAAAAAAAGGTAAATTTTTATTGGCTTCCTAGTGCATGATCATTGATATACCATCGGTCGTTGTTGACAATATTATCGAAGATATTATAATTGGTAATCGATGAATGAATTTGTGTAAGTCTATCCAATAAAAAAAATATTTTTTAAATAACTTATCTATAAGTTGTATTATAAAGAATAAAATGACATTTTTATGCTATTCGTCGCATTAGTTACAAGAAAAAAAATATAGAAAATATAAAATTCTATCTGCTTCCTAGTGCATGATCATAGTATACCATCGTTTGTTGTCAATAATATCATCGAGATGTTATAATTGGTAATCGATAAATAAATGTGTGTAAGCGATCACCAACATTATTATTGTTTGCTGTCCAATAAAATATTTTTTTAAAATAACTTATTTTTAAGTTATATTATAAAGAGTAAAATGACATTTTATCCTATTTCTCGTTTTAGTTATAAGAAATGAAAAAAATATAGAAAATATAAAATTTTGTCGGCTTCCTATTGCGTGATCATTGATGTGTCGTCGACTGTTGTCGACAATATCTCATCTTCTTCTCATCATCTCGATACTTGGAAAATAGTGCAAAAAAATGTTCTAGAATTACATTCAATTGGTCCCTCTATGTGCACGCCTTCGCTAATGGGGTAGTATCGATTTGGGGGTTAGGGTTTGGAGGAAGCTTTGTGCGTGCGAGACTCGGGAAAGGTTTGTTGAGTTAAAGGATTTCTAGGGGGAAGGAGCATGATGTGTTTTCGGAGAATTTGTGAGAGATTTTAGGCATGTTTGGCTTCTGATAATATGAGGATGATTTGATAAATTACTTAGCATTTAACATGTCGCATCAAATTATCGTGCAACAAATTGTGTCCAGTGGCCAATGGAGGTGGATGGAACAAGTAGAGTGACCATCGAGAAACGTTTATAGCAAAATTCAATAGTCACTTAAACATTTGTTGAAAGTAATCGTTTATGTCTTGAAATTGGCGGTGAAATTACCCAAAAAACCACTATTCCGACACCCTAACAAACATTTTTTTCTTCCCCTCTTTCAATTTTCTACCGCTCTCTCAATTTTTTTATAGTCAGCAAATGGCTGCTTCAATCTTCCAAAAATTCTTGAGAAGTCAGTCTCTATACGCCACAAAATTGATCAGCCATCCGTCATTACCGCCAGCATATCTGCTTACCCAAATCTCCGAACCCACTATATTAGCTGATGAAATCCCCCTTTCCGGTCATCAGAAAATAGCGAATTCAAGATTATATCCTTCCATTTCTTCACATTTCTACCCGAGCTTTTCTTTTGGGTTTTTTCTGCACCCAGTTTTTTCTTCAATCGGGTCAATTCGATCTGAACCTGATGACGAAACCGTTTCTGAGAGTCCTCTAACTATCTGGGCTGATAGTGTGAAGAAGAAGAGGAAAAGAAAGATGAACAGGCACAAGTTGAGGAAGCTAAGAAAGTCTCTCAAGAACAAAAGTTAGTTTCAACATTTCTACCTTTTCTTTAACTTTAATCATGGGACGAGTTAGTGGTGGCATTTCTTTTTAAGGATAGCATTGAACTGAACTTAGTTTGGTTGAATTATTTTGATAATTTATCAGCATTTTGTTGTGGAAGATATCGCTCATTACTGGTTGTATGCCATTCCATCTTTTGCTGGGAATAAAAAGATTTAAGTATACTAAAAGCAGTGTGAATGGAAATTATCCAGAGCTTATTCTGTCAAGCTTGTTTGAGTTGGAGAATTTGTGCTAATGATAATGCAAATTGTTTGACCTAATTGATTTAGATGGATTCAGCTATAGTATACTTTTAACAGGAATTGTTTCTATTAGGTTTGCTTTTCGGTTAATTTGTTCAGGAAGGCTCGAGCATAGTGCTTGGGTGTCGACTGGATGGCATGGTTAGAGCTATCTTGCCTTCCTTCACACAGTTCTTGTAGCATTGTAGGCTGTGGGAACTCATCTAATGTAGACAAACGAGGATCTTGATGAATTCATGGATAAACAAGGCTAACTAAAGAAAGGATTGAATTGTCAAATAATGCTAGTTAAAGAATTACCGGTCTATTACACCGTCATAAATAGTTTTCATTCTTCCATTCTTTCTACGGATGGGCTATTTCGTAGGTAAACAATTTTCAGTTTTCTAAGCCGTTTTAAGAGCATCTCTAATGATGGTGTCAATTGGTATCTTCAAAATCACTTTTGCATCCTCATTTACCTTCCTGTAGATCTAAATCCAAATTCTCCTCCAATAGAAAGATCTAAATCCACTTTTTGCCTTTTGTGAATGTAAAACAAAGATGTAATACATTTTGTGCTACAAGGCTAACTAAAGAAAGGATTGAATTGTCAAATAATGCTAGTTAAAGAATTACCGGTCTATTACACCGTCATAAATAGTTTTCATTCTTCCATTCTTTCTATGGATGGGCTATTTCGTAGGTAAACAATTTTCAGTTTTCTCTAAGCCGTTTTAAGAGCATCTCTAATGATGGTGTCAATTGGTATCTTCAAAATCACTTTTGCATCCTCATTTACCTTCCTGTAGATCTAAATCCAAATTCTCCTCCAATAGAAAGATCTAAATCCACTTTTTGCCTTTTGTTAATGTAAAACAAAGATGTAATACATTTTGTGCCAGAGAATACTATTTGCATCTCCTTTACAACTCTCCATTGGAGAGGTTTCCGACCTCTTTGGATATCTAAATCTCTATTTTAAAACACCATTAGAAATGCTCTAAGCATTAGGCTGTCTAAACTTTCTCGAGCAAAGGAGAAGCTCATTCTCGTGGCTGACCCTGTGTATGTAGAAGAAACTCACGCATGCACACAATCGAGAGAGAGAGAGAGAGATCTGCAATCCAAAGCTATTAAATTTTCTGGTGCCATGTGTTCAACTGCTTACATGTAGCATAAGATAATATTTGCTTCTAAGGTTTAAGTGCCATACTAGTTGTACAGAGGAACAAATTTCAGCACAGGCAATTTGAAAAGGAAACATAATTTCTATTGATTTTGTTCATTTAAATTTCACAAGTATTGATCTGAACCTCCCACAAGAGAAAACTTGGGAGTGTGCTCACTTTATTCGACTATCGCTGAAGGTGGAAGACGACCATTGCAAATCTCATGCACTGTCGAGAAAAGAGGGAACAGCTCTAAGCCTTTAACCATCCCCGATGGCTTAACACCTCATAAACCTCTTTTGCCGTTAAGACACCCTTCAAAAGTTTCAGGACAGGGTTAGGTTCATACTATTGATCTATGGAAAGAAATTTCTCTGAATTTCCGAATTTGGATATGAATATTTATGCTCGATTAAATATGTTGTCTACCTGTAATTTCTGGCCCTGTAACATCTCTGCTTCGAGCTCATCAAAAGACCTGTACAGCGAAGTCAAATAAGGATTAATGAACTGCTCTGCACTAGCATTATTGTCTAGTAATTAGATCACTCGTTTAGGATGCAACTTTTCCCACCATTTCTGGCAAAAGCCCCAGCACATTCCCTGTTTCTGCCCCCCACTGAAATCAGAATAAATCACAATGTTCATGTCTACCTAGTACTGGTGAAAAATTAGGAATTTACCAGAAGGACAGCAATACAAGTTCGGTGCAAAGCATTGAACAGGACTGGATGGTAATAATAAACTAGATCTTAGCTTTGTGTATACTTGTATGCCATCTAGTACTATTGAATTATCCCCACCAAACAAGTCATGGAGGTATTGAGTCTATTGGCTATCCTACTTACAGCAAGTTGTTATTAGATCTGTTACACCGCAGCTCTCAAAGAAAGTAGTATCTTTGACAGAAGGGAAAAGTAGCTTGGAACCCTCAGACCAATTCTCATAATTGCAGCCTGGTAAATCTCACACATTGATCAATCAACTTCTCCACCATGTTGATACCATAGCAATAAGTTTTAACATAAAACTTCATTTGCTTTACCTTGGTGTTATTTCCCATCTCCAACCCGTCCACAAATCCCGTTCCATCAGTCGAACAATAAGCTATTATTTAAAAAAAATGACATCACAACTTGTCGAAATTGACACGGGCAGATCAAGTTAGTACAGACCTGCTGCGATGGCCACAACATTTTTCAGTGTTCCACATAGTTCAACTCCTTCCATATCTTGGACCTATTTTATTTATGTAGTGTGTGAAGAATGTATACTGAAGCTGAAATTTCTCTGAATTTCCGAATTTGGATATGAATATTTATGCTCGATTAAATATGTTGTCTACCTGTAATTTCTGGCCCTGTATAATCTCTGCTTCGAGCTCATCAAAAGACCTGTACAGCGAAGTCAAATAAGGATTAATGAACTGCTCTGCACTAGCATTATTGTCTAGTAATTAGATCACTCGTTTAGGATGCCACTTTTCCCACCATTTCTGGCAAAAGCCCCAGCACATTCCCTGTTTCTGCCCCCCACATAATATTGTATTTTATAAGTAGTTTCATGTAATTAGGGCACCAATGCCTTAAGTAGTTGGAAGTAAACGTAGTTTCACTTACAGCTGAGACCATGGAGTATGAAGTGTTGAATACATGAACCATTATTCTGCAGTCTCTTTATGTTTTCTGTATCCAACAGTCACCTAGCTGCTCGACTGCAATCTGCAAAAACAGCAGGGACTCATTACATGAACCATTAGAAAAAATATTCATCTAGAAATACTTACCCATACAAAGTATAAAAGAGAAAATAAAGCTCAATGACCTCATTGGCAATATTTGCCCCCATCAAAACTCAACAATTAACTCCAAGCTGTTCAGAAATTAGGGTATAGATCATGCAGGGACCTTCTTTCTTCACTTCCATTACTTTAATCAGAGAAATGGCTTCACCATCTTCTCTTATCTTCCCAACAAGCTTTCTGCATATGCTCTTCATGAACTGATGTGGTGTTAAAAATACCAACATGTTTGCATCCTTCACCCCCCCCCCCCCCCCCCAAAAAAAAACCCCCCCCCCCCCCCCCCCCCCCCTAAAAAAAAAAAAACCATCTTTTTGCTTAAATTCAACGCGTACACGAATTTAGGTGTCATACCCTTTATTAAAATTATGAATTTGTCAAGAATTTGATGAAAGCGTTCAAATAAATAAATAAATGTCCCTGTCACACGTATGACGGGCAGTACAATCTTGGGAGGTGCAAATACCTGCATTTTCGAGGTTTAGGTCTACAACAACATTTTGGCGAAGCTTTATTCCTGGAAGATACTTAACATTCTCCTATGGAAGAAAACATTTATAATATAAATTGCAAGAATCGATAAAAGAAAAATAATTACACGTGACATTGAGAACTAATAAATTACATTGGTTTGATTGATGACTTCTGAGAGTTTTTCTCCCGCTGGCAGTATCTCCTCAAATACCAACATCCTCACTTCATCTACAAAAATTCAATTCAAGCTTGTAAATGGATAACTGACCTGGCAATTAGTTCATGTTTGGTTGGTGAATAATTTATAATCACTTCTGGTTAAACATGTTTTTTTTTGTCCACATATATCATAAATCAAAACTAAACTTATAATCGTTTAAATTATATTTTAATCAACAACAAAACATGCACCCTGTAATTCAGAATTTATTTAATAGATTTTCGTACTTTTTTTATTATTTTCCTAGTTGTTTTGCTACCTAAATTTGTTCAATTTAAACCTATATAAAAGAATCTTTGTATTTTTTTTAATTCTTCCTCTCTAGCATCACCCTAGTCTTATTTTTCACCATCATCTTCTTTCTTTCTCAATCTTGTTCGTGTTCGATTGTGTTCTACATCATCCTTCATGAGATAGGAATGTTAAGTCGATCTTGGTCGAGGATATACTGTATAATTAAGCGTCCAGCAACCAAACTTACAAATTAGACGAGAGCAATAAGAAAGAAAAGAGGACAAACCGTGGAAAGAGCTAAGCTTTCGGGTGTTTGAGGCAATGAGTTTAGCAGCAACACTGCCCACAGCTGTGACGTTTGATTTGATGGGCTGCACTTCATCTTCAACTCGGGTGGTGGTGGCGGCGTCTTGAATATTTTCCGCCTCCACCGGTGGCTGATGAGATTCTACTGATGAAGCCATGAAGAAGAAAAACAAAGAAAAAGGGGGGCAGATTGCAGGGGAAAAATTAAGGAGTGGAGGAATAGAATTAAACGGGGAGGGAGAATGTACATTTGAGCGGAGAACCCAGACACGTATCGTCAGTATCAATCTGTGTAATGCTAAAAATCTGGCGATCTACTCTATACACACAACGTGTGACACCCAAAAGGAAAAAAAAAAAAAAAAAAAAGGCACAACTTGTCTTCCTTAATTGTCAAGTCCACTTCCCACTCATATTGTTTCCTTCTATTTGGTTTACAAGCCCATACTAACTAAAATTTGGTCCATCTTAGCCTATTCTACTCTATAACCGGTCCTCAATTAAGATTCAGCAAGTTAAGTTTATTACGTTAGATTTAACGGTGTTGTAAAGATACATGTGATGAAGTTTAGCGATTGTAAGATTTAGATCAGTTTATGGAATATACCAGTTAATTAATTCCACTATTGACATATAACCTTTGTTTGCTTTAGTTAAAAATCAAATTTTTAGTATATTTTGATAAAAATTGATGATATGCGTGGTTAAAAAATTGATAAAGTTGTAGATCCCATAATATATATTGTTGAAAATGAGTTTCAATTTAAAAAAAATCCAATGACAGATAATAGCACCTATAACTACAATCCAAGTTAAAGCTTGTTCAAAAAAAAAAAAAAAAAAAAAAATTAAAACTTTTTAAAAAAAAAAAAAAAAAAAAAAAAAATGATTAAGACAGTTCTTTAATTGAGATTTTCAGGGAAATCAAATTCCGTTTCTTCGATAGTCAAAAACAGTAAATGCCTGACGATACAGTGAACTGATTATGTTTTCTGAGGAAAACAAATAATTATAGCAATACAACGTGTTTCAAGAGCCTAAATATGAAAAGAAAAATTCAGTATGGCTAATAATGCTGTATCTCAAGGAGCTCTGTCAAAGGGCTTCGTGTCATTGTAACAAACATCCCAAACAGCTTCCATGGCATCCTTCGCAGCTGCTTCTGAGCAGTATGGGTTTGCAGTCACGGATTTCATCACTCTTCGCCTCACACAGTCCTTCAAGGATTAGATTAGAACAAGAATGTTAAGATATCAAGAAGTTACCATTCAAGTGCACAAATAATCACAAGATACTATGAACGTAAGTTACATAATAGTTAAAAATGAAATTAACTAAGCTCAGACTAATTATTCTCGGGGCGACGCTTCGACTCCTAAAACCTAATTAGGAGTGGCATTCCCATTTGTATACATATTTAGACTTTGCAGGTCTCATTCTCTCACTCCCCTCTACCATACAAGCCCTAGAGATTTAGACCTGCCTTTGCATCATCTTGCTCCCCCTCTACAAGTCCTAGAGATTTACCTCGAAAATTGCCTTTGCATTGTGAAGAATATAAACATGTAATGGTCAACGTACACAAAATTAATATGATATAAGATTAGGTAGAAATGTCCTTGTGACAACAATATGCTGTTATAGTAACAAAGATTGTTTTTTCTAACATGAACATAGAAGTGACACGAATGCAAGAGAAGTTACGTTAAAAGGTTATCTCTGTCTACCTGAATTATATGATTGCATCGTAATAATTAAACTTCATCTCCTTACATATTGAGAGGAACCAAAGTTAGCTCCAGATGAAGCTGAAATTATTATTTTACATGACTTAATATTGCATATTGGTACTTCCTTGCATAACCCAATCTATTTGCACATCCAAACTTTAAAGTGATACTGTGCAAGAATTTATGGCCGAACTCCATTACCACGTGTCCTAATTACTGACATGAAGCGGTCGAACCTTCTATTTACATTTTAATCAACAAGACAGAGATGCCCTTACTCTCAATCAAACTTATCCATCAGCATAGCATGTACTATAAGATTACAGATTGCTTTAGGCCTATAAGCATCTTTTTCTCTCATTTAATATCACATTTGGCACTAGCACACCCGATATCAATTAGAAGTTGCATTGGAGAAACTTTTATAAGTGAATCTACAAGGGATTCAAGCAATTCAGAAGTCAAACTGAATTTTACATCTGATCTTTGCTCATAAAAGTATTCCACGCATTACCCCTCTCATGATAGTTAGAAGATAAACGATTGCCTTATTTTTTCAAATACTCTGGAAGTGTTGGTTTAAACTTCAAAGAAAGTACACTCTGACTTAAAGCTCTTAAAGAATGGAAGTGACTGGAAGTTACATGCAATGTTGAATGACAACTCAGTTTGGAGAATTCATACGGGTCCTTCAGAATCTAACAGAACTAAAACTGAATAGTTCACACGGAAAACCACTAAAGACATTATTTATCTACCTTTGAGTCTTTGCATTTAAGAATTTAATAGATTACATATTAACGCATTTGATCATATGAAGGCCAGACATGACAAGAAACTTCAAGCAACAATGGACAATTTTTTGTAATGGAAGAAAACTCACTTGTTCATGACCTCGTATTTTCACAAACCCGCGCAGTAATTCCCTCTTATAATGGCAATCACCACTAAGATGGCCAGCTCGAATCTAATTTCATAAACAGTATAAACATAATACATAAACCAGTAAGAAATGAACTCCGATATGAAACCTAGCAAAAAAGAGCCAAGAAACAAATGAAATTTCTTAACCTCACTGCAAGCATGATGAGCACAATCAGACCAGTCCAAATTTGCAGCACGACAGTCATCATATGCATGAATGAGTTCATGAATTACAACTTGGTTCACCTCATCTTGTATTTTCAAGTGATTACTGCACACTACTATCTGTAACAAATTACAACGTATTAGACAAAGAAAAGGTTGGCTAAAATTCTAAATCAATATCTCAATTATTCAACAAAAAATCGAAAATAAAAATTAGAACACAAACACTTACCACCACTATCTGTAATCAGCAAAATCCTAAAATCGATTTTTCACCGGTTACGCGTAAAATTATAAAATTATTATCAATTAGTTGGAAGAGAGGGAGCTTTAATGAGTAGAAAATCAGTGAATAATCATTTAATTACCCCTTCACCGCGGAGGTAGCCGCCACTGACTTGCTTATCACAACGTACAGCCTTGATGAAATTGCTTCCTATATTGCATCCAGATTTCTCAAGGTGCTCCTTCAGAAACTTCACCATTGGAGCTGCAATACATTTGGACGCACACAGATATACATACATATGAGGTTTTGAAAACACAAAACCCTATAGCTGATAGAAATGGTGAAGATCCATGAAAAAAAGAAACAATGAACAATACTTCTAAGGCTCCTTCGGATCATGCTATCGCATTCGTCTACGGTCATACCGCCGTCGACAGCAGAGGAGTAGCCGCCGGCCGAACCGGGCTCAGTCGCCATCTGTGTTGGGTCCTTTTTGGTAGACCGTAGACCCCGGAAAGATAACTAACTAAAAACGTTTTAGCGAGATGGGCCAAAATGTTAACAGCCCAACAATCAGCCCAATGATGATTAGATTATAAAAACTGGAAAAGTTTTCATGGTAAGAATTTCCAAGAATTGGAGTTTCAAAATGGACCAATGATTTTTCTCTAGAATAGTCAAATGGCTTAGCCCTTATTTGTCGGCCTTTATTTTACATTTTTTTTCATTATTTTTTCTACGATACTTATTTTTAACCACATATTCTTTATTAAAATAATATTACATGCAACTAAAAAACTTTTCCTTTTTTTTTTTAATTACATATTCTCTATCAATCATTATTCCTTAATACATTTCTTTAAATTAATGAGGCTCAAACAGGGCCTTATTATGGCATTTACATATCATGTATCAAGATTTGTTTGTGCCTCGATAAGAGGAAATTACAACCCTTACCTAATATAATTCAGGAATTACTTTGTCATTAATAACAACCCTTACCTAATATAATTCAGGAATTACTTTGTCATTAATTTTATTCAAGATATACAACTTAAAATATAGTAAAATAAAAAACATGTAAATCACCTCACTCATACTAAAAAAAATCAATTGTGAGCTATATATGTACCACCAAACACGCCACTTATCCAATTTTATAAATCATAATAGATGGCACATGAATATATGTTTCTACAAATTATGCATATCTGGATGGATTTGCTAAATAGTGACTTAGAAAATTATTGAGTCATAAAACAAAAATTATGTGTTTCTACAACATGAGAACATTCATACTAGCTAGATTAAAAGGGAGGGGGGGGGGGGGGGGGGGAAGGGAAAAAATTTTTTTTTTTTTTTTTTTTTTGGAATGAAGAACAAATTTATTATTATTTTTTTTTTTTTACCAAAATGCTTGTTTTTGCAGTTTGCCCAATGAAGTTTTTTTTTTTTTTTTTTTTTGAGATAGTTTAGAAACAACAATAAATGATCAGCTTAATACTAGGGTAATTAAAATTAATTTCAGTTACAAAGAATTTACGGAGTCCAAATTCGATATATAGTATTTCCCAAAATATTAACATATCACAAAGTAATACTTGAATTATAAAAATGACATAATAAATCTTGAATATATATTTAGTAACGACGTAGATATGAAAATTTCCCTAAAGTTTTGTCCATCTTCAGATCTAACACTGTTGGAATTTTAACTGAACCAATCACATGGTGGGTCTCACCCACTTAAAAAGCCCACCATTATGTATGCAAGCAACTCTGGCACAATCACACTTAACCCATTATGAGGTGAGTAAAAAAAATAACTAATTTATCCTTCATACTTATATTTATTTGTTTGATCTCTTATATTCGGTCCTTGATGACCAGTAGGGGATTCGGTAGCCCCTGGTTGAGTTTGGAGAAAAGGAGTCAGCTGTCTGCATGAGTCACATTTTCTGCGCTGATATTTGAATTGTCTCCCTAAGTAATACACCTAGAAGTGTCAAAAAAGTTCGAGCCTAAAAATTGGATCCATCTACAATTTGTGAGGTCCTAAATCAGACTAACAAAAAGGATTGAACCTACACGAGCTTATAGCCTCAAAGGGTTGTCGGGTCATGACAAAAAAGTTTGAAACCTCGTCAACCTTGATGATGATTCTTAGTCATTAGGAGATTTCATTCTCTTGGTTCAATCCGTTCTAAAACCACTAGAAAACGCTGGACGGTTTAATCCATTACTTATGGTTATTTTTATTATTTTTTAATCTAATTCATTATAGCGACATCAATTTCGATTTAATATTCGCATGTCCCTTTTTTTTTTTGGGTGATACTCCTCCTTTCCGTTATTATCATTCTATCAGACTTTTTAGTTGGTCAATTAAGTTGAGTGATTATGAATTTTAACATCAATCAAATCAAAGGGAAGACAAGCAGGATTTGTTATTATTCAACACTCGTGCATATCTTTCGTGTTATAATTAGCACTGCAATATTCTTCAAAGTAAACAGCAAATCTCCTTTTCTTTCTTCATCTATTTTATATGACCATAATTTGAAATTAAGGTCTAAATGCTGATAATTAGTCCAAATACAGCATTTAATTAACTAACAGCGAGAACCCCTTCTGCAGCTAAGTGCACCCGCATTAGTGGTAATTGAACCCACAAGGGAAGATGGTCTAGCGCCTAAACTCGATGCTCGGGCGTATGTGGAGGACGAGGCACCAGCCCCGGACTGCACGAAATAGGCACCGTTCAACATCAAGTCACCTTCCGACCTCCAATTCCAGTGACTCCATTCACTTTCCGGCGCATCCTCATGCTTTGTTACCTGCGCACGTCAAGGGTAAGTCTATGGTTTATGATATCAAAGTCCAAGAAGCTCAACGAGTAGTCTGATTCCAAGACTAACAATAAAATTTCATATTGCTCTAAATATTTATTAATTTTGTGCATGGATCGATATCTCTTTAGTCTTTAATTACCTCTTTTCTGAATCTTTCATTAGGTGCAAGAAATCTGTTTCCTTGGCTATTGATGGTGGGAGAGGCACTTCCACCAATGGCATACATTTCCCAGTGAGTATAGTCATTGTTAACCACGTGGAAATATCCATGTCTACACCTGCAAGAAATAGTTGAGGATGTAAGGAAAAAGAATATGAATTTGAATAGAATGCTTTTGATCTTACCTAGGCATTCTTTGGACGAGACCTTCTCCAAAATGATTAAAAGCTATGGTCACTTGCATATTCTTGTCCTCTGTATAAGCATCACTATGTCCCAAGAGCATGACCTTATCATGATGAGTAAAGTAATTATTCGATATCGTTATGGCTGTAGATCCATGGATGGCATCAATGAGCCCATCCTGGCAATTCGACAGAGAGCAATGATCGATCCAAATATGGCTACTTCCGAAAATGGCCACCCCATCTCCATCCGACGGTTCCCAGTGTCCCACATGTTGAGGCGAGTCTCTTATAATAGCACTACCTCCCTTTTTACAGTCATGTATATTAATCCCATGTATAATAATGTTATTTGTGAAGTGAATTTTTATGCACGGCCCACTGGCAATGTGAACGCTGGCCCCTCGGCCATCAATGGTCTTGAACTTGTTCATCACAAGTTCTTGCTTGAGCTGAATCACCATATCTCTTTTGAAAATGATCCATAAAGGCTCATTTTGTATCACAGCATGTCTAAGTGTACCTGGCATAGGATTCGTGGGATTATCGTCACCAGAGTCTGTGACTACGTATATACGACCATCCCGGCCACCAACTGCGTCCTTGCCGAATCCAATGGCGCAATCAGCTAAACGCTGGCGATTATTCTCCCAGTTGGGGTCGCAACGCCAGCAATCATCAATAGGATTGCCAGTTCCACAAGAGAGATAGCTTAGGCTCCTCCTTGATGCATTGATGCTCCTATGCACGTCTTGCACGACATGTTCTGGGTCGTGAATCGAAGACGAGAAAATGCCGGATGGAGTAAGAAGAATGAAAATGGTGATTGAAAGACCAAACGTTTTCATTATGTTGAAAGTAAGTTAGGAGGGATGGGTGAAAGATAGTGGTGTAGTAAGCAAGGTTATAAAGGATCACAGCCGCGATAAAAGGCGTGATTTAACCGAGGATGTGGGGTACATTTCGGTGGATAGTGTGCTATTTCAAATGGAGTGCTCTTGAGTTCATACTTGGCAGTTTAAACCGTTAAAGATAGTTGTCCAAAATATCATTTGACACAGGCTCGATTACATATAGAGAGTGCAATAGTCCAACCCACTGACTGCGGAAGGAAGTTTGACCATGGACCATCATGTCCATCCAATTTTCTTTGGCGGCAAATTTTGGTGAAACGGGGAGAAAAATTGAAGAAATGAGATCAAGCACCAGTTTGACTCCATTATTCCAATTTTATAACAAGGGGAATAGTAACTTTTTGAAAAATGTGTGGCTAAAAAAGAAAGAGAAAAAAAATAATTTTAATTTAATGGGATTCAAACAGGGGACAAGTATCGTTAGCTCAAGCTAGTAGAGTAAGAACTGAAAAGGGTCATGAGCTTACAAGCAATGTTTGCTCGAGCGAGCAATGGTGTGACTTTTTCGTGACTTTTTCATGACTTTGCACAGAGGAGAGCACACACTAAGTGACATCCAACAGACATTTTGATTATAGATTTCACTAAAGGCACGTGCTAGGTTTTGGAGTAAAAGATGAAGAATGCGAAAGCGCAACATTAGGGTTAAAGATTCAACTAGTCATCTTCCCTCAGTGATGTACTCATTAGTTATACGTTTTTGTAAGTTCGACGATCACTTAAATTTTTACTAGGTAAGGCAAGGCAACAAAGATAACCAAGTTTTGCAGTTTAATTTCAATTTTCCTTTTTTTTCCCCCCCCTTCAAGTGCAACTTGATGTGAAATTGGGAAGTCTACGTGCATGGCTATTCTAGATATGAAGCTATGATCAATCATTTGCAGTACTTAATAACAATAATTTTTGTGAAATAGTACTTGACTTGATCACTTAATTGTTCAACATAAACACTTCCGTAATTGAAGCACAAAATATTAAAAGTCACCGTTCCTATTATTTCACTGAATTAGTGTATGTTTGAACCCCATTCAAATGATTTTTTGGCCAATTTCATTTTCTGAATCTGTGGGGGCCACATTCTCAGAAATTATGAAAAAAACACAGCAAGGTTGACTTTTGGGAAAATGTGCAAGTCCAAGAATATGTGTTCCTAGTGTACCCTTAAAAAAAAATGGTGGGAGATTATTTAAAACTGAAGGAATGGGTGGGTTATTTTTGGAAATTGGTTTTAAAAAATGAGGGTGTTTTTGACATTTGAATTAAAAAGTTTTTTGCAACAATTATTTTGCTTGACAATACACCGTGCATTGCATAATTTTTTAAGAATTAAGTACTGTTAAAAAATAAGAAAGCTCATTAAAAATGAGATTCAAACACACGCTTTGTGTAACATAGGAACGGATTTAGGGGAG